ATCAAAAATGAAACATGAATAAGTAGACTTTGGCTATTTCTGAACATATTTTAAAATCAAAATATGCAATTCATAAAAAAAATTTCGCTTGAAAGTTGACACTTTCATGGAATTGTCCAAATACTATATATTTTGTTTTTATTATCAGAATCGTTGTTTCTTTTACCAGAAATGTCATTTTACCAGATTTTGTTTTCTCCGTTCACGAGGAACTAATTATGTTGAACAATTAAAAATATTTCTTGAATATCCAATCACACAGAGAGAAAAGAGTTCTGCTGAAATTATCGAAATGTATGCATTTCTGGTTGAAGAAACCATAATTTTTGTAATTAAACCAAAAAAATACAGTATTTATAAGCCATTCATTTGGTATTTTTTGCGTAGACATTGCTACGGTTTACCTGAAATTGTGGTTCTCAAAATTGTAATCCTTATTACCAAACATTTATTAAAAGCTAAAAAATAAATTTTACCCTAATAAATAGTTTTTATGTCATGCCCTATGTAATCATGATAAGATCACTAACTTTACACTTTATCATATTTTAACACTATATTTTATGGTTAATTTAGTCAATATCATTACCAAAGAGTTTCGGAAAAATTACCCAGATTTTTGAATTACCATAAAGCCAACAAGACGGCAAATTTAAGAATATTCTGGTAGTTTTGACTATACTTTTTTCTTCAGTACACCAAGTAGGCTATGAAATTATCTCTAGTATTGATAATAGATAAATGTGGCTGACCATTTTTACATTACACTTATTTTCTTTTTAACTATATGGGTAATTTATAGGTAATGCTATTGTTTAAACAAATACGTTCTTTTGTGAAACGCTCAATTAAAAAAATACTTTTTTTTCTCCTTTTTTGTAGAATGTCACTCTAGTTTTCGTTATTTTTATGATATATCAATGAACCGCTTATTATCCGTTAAAAATACGTTAAGTCTTTGGGGATATTATTTAGGTCTCGCTTAAAAAATCATGCAAAGAATTTCTTTGGTATATGTAAATGTTTCATAAAAAAATGCAAAATCATAAATAATTTAACGGTCAATGCCCGATTCTTTTAATCAGGCATAAAATTTTTCAGTTAAAGTAAGAGTTATCTAGTCAATTTTATATCATTTGTTGAAATTTTAAAAACAATTTAATAACTTTGTTTAACACATCATTAGACATGCTCAAGATAACATGATTTCTAGTTTTCTAACTATTTTAACTATCCATTATCGAACCATACAAGCGTGACATGATTCAACGAGCAAAATAATGTCATACAAATACTTTAATTACCTACTTTAAAAGCAATTACTTGGTGGAAAATCAATTGTAGAAATAAAAATGACATTTTGCTAATCTTCTGGTTACTTGAGAAGAAGATTAATGTGATCACGGTCATCAGCATGGTCACCCATGCGATTCTCAAAACACATCATACCTCAATACTTATAATGACTGCCATCACATAAAGTTGGAAATATTTCGTTATGCAGTCAACTAAAAAATGGGTCATAATTCAAAAGCTCTTCATCTTTATATTTATTACAGTAAAGTTTTGATTTATCAATATCTAATATATATAATTCTCTTAAGTGGCTCCCAAATTTTGGCTGTATTTCTTTTCCGCCGGTGGCAACGTTTGCTTTGCTTTGCTTACGTTACTATTTCTCTTACACGGCTACAAAAAAAGCCTCATTACAACTCCCCGAATGGCAACGCTAGAAAATCGACCAATGATGGCCGCTAAAAATGTCACATGCCAAATCTAGCTGAGGTGGCTCAACATATAGCGCTTTTAAAAACGGAAACGGAAATAATCAGAGAGCATCAGCCTCGGCAATCTCATACTATTAAGCTAGGCAGAAGTGAGTAGTCTTTGTGGATAGATCTCTATTTTAGTATTTTGCCGAAAGCGCTTTTTTTCACGAATTTAAATATTACGAATTTATTTGACGATTTTCGATTTATATCACGAATTATACTACAGCACATTTCTAATAGGTTTAACGAATTACATGCCATTTATTTGAATTTATTTTAATGATTTAGTATTTACTAAAAAGATGTAGTTTGTTCTTTCTTTTTTTTTTAATTATATGGATTTGAATGATTGTTTTTAAGTCTTAGAATTTTGTGCATTTGCAATGTACCTAAGTTAGTAGCGAGCGAAACGAGCTTGGTTTGCGAAGCAAACCATATAAGATTGCGTAGCAATTTTCGGGGGTTGGCGAGGGTTAGCGAGCAGGGGGCGCAGCTGACTAGTAAATTAATAATCCCTTAAAATTTTAGTTGACACAATTACCAAAAAAGCGAACATTTTTGTTTGAGTTCACTTTCCTTGTGTTCACTTGACTGGTCTATACAAATTCCACACCCAGCCCTCATCACCCACAGTGCTGATGTAAAATATCCTCAGTGGTAGATGGATCATGGATTAGAGTCCCCTTACCATCAGGCTGACCGTGGGATGATTTAATGGTTTTTCTCTCTATCTAACGCAAATGCGGGTTAGTTCCATCATAAAAAAGTCCTAGGCAAATTTCTTCCAATGCTTCATTCAATATTTCCTTTGTCATCTGGATTGGGTTCAAAATAACAAGGCTACAGAGTTGAACATTAGTAGTCGTAAACCCAATAATGGGTCGACTGTACAGCAATGGTTATAAAATAAAATATTTGTGCATAAATATTAAAAATATTAATTCAACCTGAAGATATTTTTTTATCTTTCAAATTACTATTTAACTTTTTATAAATAGTTAAAGGTCTCCTTTAGAACTATAAATGCTTTGTAAAATCTCTATGAAGGTGGTTTTGAAATAAATATTTCATTTACTGAAGCATTTTTTTTTTGTTTTTATTTATAATTTTACTGTAAAATTCATGCATTTCTATTTAAGCATCATGTTAAATAACAATTGTTCCTATAAATATTATGCCAAAGTCAGAATAAGAGCAAATACTTCATTCAAATTAAAAAATTCTATTCGTTAATTTCTATATTCTTATAGCGGGTTTTTCTATATGTATTTTTTTAAGTTTCTATAATTAACTATCAAATCACGATTCTTGACAAGTATTCCGCATTTTTTCTCTTGAATGAGCTTCAACAACTACTAAATGTTTAAAATGTTTAAGGAAACGAAAAATATCTGAACCATAACTTATAACTTAACTTTTAAGTAGGAAAATGCTAAACATGTGATAAGAACCAAAGGAAATTCATTTGTCTACAAGTTCAATCATGCATAAAGAGCATCTCTTATAAATGCATGCACAAGTGCTAACTATTACTGCATTTTTTTTAATGCTAGTACTTTCCTGATTTCTTATAGTTTGAATCTATCAGAAAAACTGGAGCATCATGTTAACTTTTTTTCTGTAAATTTGAGACAATTTCTAAAAATAGACAGTCTTCAAATAAACGTTCAATTATAAAAAAAAATTATAAATTGAAAGAAATATTTTAGTAGCCTTAAAATAAACAGTATTTACTAATTACGTAGAGATATTCTGGTATGACAACAAAGGAGCGACAAAATAAACTATAAGAAATAATTAAAAAATAAAGAAATAACAAAGTTTACAAATTATTTCAATTGCTATTATACTTGTCATTGACGTTGATTTGTGGGAATATCGCAAACATGTTTTTTAATCTTCAATTAAATAATCAATTATAAATACAAATATGAATATCATAAAAAATTTTAAAAAGAAAATACCAAAACCCATTAAAAGCAGAATTTTTAAAAGCAATTTGTATTATTCGAAAAACAAGCTTATTTCAAACTTAAGAGGCAAATTTCAAACCTACACTGTAAAAAATTTGATGCATAGTTGCCACCATTTTTGGGTACAGAGGTAAACTAAAATTTTTTGCAGTGCATGTATAGTCACACTTTTTATTTACTTTTTCATTGTTGTAGTTTTATTTATTTATTCTTTCATTTTTGTATTTTTTGTTCACTGACTGCATAAATTTAATGCAAGTTAAAATCAATACAATGGCTTTATTGCAAAAAGATTTCATTTAAAAAACAAGCACACTTTTAGTAATATATTCACTTTAGTTATTTCAAACAATTTTTTTTTTGAAAATTTCATAAGACTTTTGCATACAACTACAGTTCTGTATTTTAAAATGCATTTACTCTACCTCAACACAAAAAATACTGTAACCATACACCAAAATTAATTTCTGTGTAAGTAATCTCTAATATTTTAAATATTATTATCTAAGTCAAAATGATTTAAAACTGTTAAATTTGTTCAATAAATTAAGCATAGTGTCACTCTCTAACCTTCAGTCTTAAAAACATTTTTAAACGCAGCGTTTCAAAGTCACTATACCCAATCTCAGTGTTGTTATAACCAAAATGAGCTAGTAACAAACTAGAGTAAAGTATTTTTCGCAATAGGGCTAGCCATTAAAGTAAATTATATGTTGTGCATAAACCTTTTATTTTTATATAAATAAGTGTCAACGAAAATTGTTGAATTTTCTTTGGAAGTTTTGAATTACAAGGTTTTAATCTAGTGGTATACTTATACTAACACTAATAATTCCAATTATAATGCACTCAGCTAGAAAAAAAATGTATAATTAAATAAGTTCATCAGATTAGTCTCGCGATAACAACTTCTCTTTTCGTTTTAACAAATTACTGTTGGTGTAAATTTTCGAAACTTCATTCAATGAATTTCAAAATACTAATCGGCAATCATTACTGAATAGAGTGCGTCCTTGTTCGTGTCAATCGCGTCCATAATTTATCCAAGAACAACAGAATAAACATACATGAGACACTCAAAACAGCGCCTAAATTGCGCCACATCCACATCGGAGTGGTGGGTGAACATTTAAATCAGGCCATCACACTTCCGATTCATTCTTACAAATGTTGGAACACTACCGTTTAGGTTATGCGTGAAAGACATATTTATTACTCATTGAGGTCACGCTAGCGTATTTTCCAGATTTTCAATTCACGTCTTTTTTGAAGTATTATGTATGTTTTTATTTTGTTACCTCGGCACGCTAAGTGCTTCGACATAATGTGAACAACAAGCTAGGCGGGACATTACAAATACTATCCGGTCATTTCGCGGTCATTAGTTTCCTGAGTTTCCAAGCGTGAAATGAATTGACAATATTATTTGTAAAAATGATGGAAGCTATTACGGTAAGAAAAAAAACAAGCCATTATTTATTCATTTTTTTTTTAAATTTATTCATTTGAAATTTTGTGGTATCTTGAAATAATTGCTTGTTTCGTATGTTATATAATCTATGTTTTTTATGGTCATCGGTCATGTTAAATGTATATATTTTTGAAATAAAAAATTGGATCATTTTTTTTTCTGCAGAAATCAGAATGTTTTTTTAACTTGCAATAAATAATACGAAACAGCATCTAATATGTAATATCGACATTGAAAAAAATTTCATTCAAGATATTTAAAGTAAAATGTAGATATCGTGTTCTTCTTTTCAGATTAAACAAAAAATAAATATATATTAAATTTTACATTTCTTAATGAAAAAATAGAGTAATATGAACTACGTAATTTAAGTCTCATAACTATTTTTAAATAGTTATTTGCAATTAATGTTCGTATTAAATATATATTTAATTTTCACATATTTTATAAAGCAAAATGAAACTTAAAATTTAGCTATAATTGGGAAATTTAAATTTATCTAAATTAAAGCTAAAATTTAAAATTTAGCTTTAACAGTTCTCGATTACTCGCCGAACCACGGAAATAGATTTCACAGTTTCTTTCGGACATCTTCTCTCGCCCACTAGATACTAGCCAAGAATTCATGTTCTCCCATGTTCTTACATAGTCAGAAATTACATGACATTTCGTTATTATGTTATTATTCGGATTACAAACTTATACGTCCTAAGTTATTAAAATAATGAATACACACAATAGAGTTAAAATATGTACCCATATTCCTTTTTTCTGTAAAAATATACCGAATTAATCAATCAAAAAAATGCATTTAAATTTTCTTTTTTTTTCTCTTTTTTTTGCCAAACAAATTGAATTTAGATTCGAAAATCTTTTCTTACTTTCAAGTAATTACATGCAAATGATCACTGTTTCCAACTGACCCATGGTAGACATCAAAATTTAAAATTTAGGACAATTTTGTTGTATATGTCCTTATGTGTGTTTGTCAATAAATAAGTAAAAATTAACAATGTGACACTCATGACACAAAATTAATAATATAAGACTCACCAACGTATGGTCCCATATTTTACTTTCGTGAACGCTACTATGCTTAAATCATTAATATTGTATACGTTAAGCAATTAAAGGAATCAGTTGTATTTATTATTTGTTTGAATGAAAGAAAACAAATGTAACTCCAAACGTACAATATAAGTTTTAAAATGAATATTGCAAGTAAAATCTTCACATTCCAATCAATTCCATTTTGATTTATTTTTGTTTCTTCCACGCATTTAAGTTTAAAAATATTTCCTAATATTTTGTCACTATTATTTATTGCCAACAGGATGAAAAAGGGACAAAAACTGGATTGTATTATCGTCTCTTCGTAACCTAACTTTCGAACTTAATTCGTTTGAACATTGCAGAGTAGTATAATATTTTAATTTTATGAATAATTTAAATTTAATTCATTTTTGTTTCCAAAAGAAAGAAACAAATTCAGCCCTCTTTCTGTGGTTACATTAGGATTACCTGTGTATACAGTATTTCTTTTGCGTTTGTGACAATATCGCTTAAATTTTACAGTATTTTGTGTATTGATTTAAATTTAATTCACTCACGTGTAGACTTTTTTTAATCATTAACTTATTTTTTACTTTGCGTTTGAATATTACAAGGAAATAAATGCATAAAGTTCACTTATACTGATATTTAATCGTTTCTAGTAACAACATCATATCCAAAATAAATTTTCATTAGTATAAAAAAAGAGTCTCATGGTTTGATGCTTTTTTTAAAATTCAATTATTAAATACTCATACATTAAAAAGGTAAACATTAAATTGTATTTTCATATGATGTAATTTAATAAAAATTTGTACCAGTAGTTCATTTCTGATTTTAATTGTTACGTCTATTATGAATAGTAAATGCAGACTGTATTTTTGTAATACCACTATACTCAATGAAACAAATGCTGTATTAAAATAAAAATCACGAAAACAATGCGAAATAGCATTCTCATATAATTCGAAATTTGCAATAAATTATAATATTCACAGCAACTTTTTCAAGTAAACATTTCTAAAAACTAACTGATAAAATATAATCGGTAACTAATAAAATTATTAGCATTTAAGATACATTTCGAATGACGAGACTCACCTGTTATTTTACACGAATGCACTAACACTTTTTAAACAGAAAATATGTATATATTTTTTTTCATTTTTCAGATGTTGGCGTTTGCCTTAACTGTTTTAGTTCAACAATATGAGTGTCAAGTACCAGTCGACGACGATGTCAAAGCTCGCTTGGAAGACAAAGTCATACAATCTATGTCTTTGAAAGAACTCGAGGCTATGGTGGAAAACGATGAGCGAGTTTTGACTGCCCCTAGATCAAAGATCATCCTCCTACCAAAGAACAGAAATGACCCAAACGAAGAAGCTTATATCATACAGCGAAAACCCAAATTTTCTGCCAGAAAAGAAATTGAAGCAAGGGAGCAGTATCAACTGGACAACGAGGATGACAGATTCCGCTCTTCTTTTGAGGACGAATTCAAGTCCTCACTGTTCAAAAGATCCTATTTACCCAAATTTCGATACGAGAGTGCTTTCAAATTCGACGAGGAATTCCCATCTCTGTTCAGCGTGTCTGATTTAGATTCCCAAGGCTCAAACCAAGCGAAGAAACTTTACGAATCTCTCGTTGAACAAATTATGGATCAAAGACCAGCACCTGAAAGACGTTTTTCAATACTAGATGTTGCTTCGAGTGCTGAATCACCTTCTTATAGACCCAGATTCGATTATGATAGTTACTCCAAGGATCCTACTGAAGTTAAATTAAAAGGTAAAATACTGCTAGAACATCCCTAACCACACACCGTAGTCCATATCTATACCTAGCCTAGCCTATACCTATTTATACTTATACCTAACCACACATATATTACCTACCATACCTACTTACCCTATCCTATACTGCCCTACTTACTTAACCTAGTTGGAATACATTATCGGTCAGTTTAACCCGTATATCTTTGACAAATAATATAAATTTTGCCAGAAGCCTAATTACGCCTTCTTTCAAAATTATAAAATAGTAGAGCATGTTCTCCATATAGAGCAAAAACAAATTCTTTACACTATAAACCTTTCCTTTATTCGTTGTATGGAAACAGGTTATATAGAGATTAAGAAGGTTTAATTTTTAAAACAACTGTTGTATTTTTGGACTTTTTAGTATAACTTATCGTTCTTCACTAAATTCAATAATCAGTTCAAAATGAGCTCCAACACTCTATTAAAATTATAATTTTTACAATGCTTAATTTTATATTGTTAAAAAATTTCTTCTCTGATACTCGGTAAATTTTCCCCTTATGATAATATTGCTATTTTAATTCCTCTTCAACAAACTCTATGAATTTACTAATCTTATACAGTTGGTCAGTAAACTACGTTTGATACCTGTTGATTTAAATGCAATATGATATTTAAATACAATTAATTCCATGAAAATAACCTTCAAAATAATGCGATTGATTTTCTATAGTTATTCTTAAAATAGAGTAAAATAATTTTTTTTTTCGTGCTAACAACCTTCTTCGAAAATACCTCTCTACTCACGTGCAATAGGTGACAAAGTGAATTTAGATGTTGTATTTAGAGTTCTGGTAGTAGAGCTCAGTATGAATATAGTGCTGTTGAAATTAGGAAAAATCGTCTAAATTCTCATAATTAAATAAATTGATCTTCACAACACAATAATAACAGTCTAAACTAATATTTTTAAATACTAATATTTTTTTCTAAATTATAAAAATGTAATATAAGAGAACTCTAATTTCACGTTACCAACTTTACAAAAAGGAATATAATTAAAAAAGCATTTATTGCAGCACGATTAAGTTTTACGTCTAAAATGTGTTATTAAATACTAAATAATATTCCACGATCTCCGACTGAACTTCTTTTATTAACATTTTAAATTTAATTTTTTATCTACATTCGAAACTTATATTCAGATTATAAAACTATTATACTTCAAAATTAGGAAAGACATACATTCTAAGAACTATTCTTTATCTAACTTCAGAGTTATTCGAAATGTTAAGATGAAGTTTTTCAACTATAACATAAGGGTAAAATGAATATAATACTGTGTAGTGATATTAAATCATGAGTACTTAAATGGTATTATAACTTTATTTACATTGTTAGATAAAAAAAGCATGATTAAAATAATTAGAAAAAAATTAAAAAAAATGAATCTTTCTAAACCCTATATTTTTGTTAATGTTAACTATTTCTAGAATAAATATGCATCAAAATACTTTTGTGAAACATTCTGATAGCAAATTTCACTGACAGGAAAAAAATATTGGAGAGACGAACCAGAACGCAGAGAAGAAAAACTTGATGATAAAGGTTGCAGAACTGTTGTCAAGAAGATCGTTGACCCAGAAGATGCCAAAAAACACGGATCAAACGCTAAAAGTGTCATAATCACGAAAGAATGTGAATCTCCTAATATCAATGGTCCAGATGCAAATATTCCAGAAATGCAACCGATTGCGCAATTGGGTGCCAGATTAGATTCGCGACCATTTGCAAGCTTCGAGGCGGCAAAATCAAACTACGAGAATACACGACCAGTTGAACTAGATCTCCCAAGTGCAAAAGCAAGAGATCCCCTAGCTCCTGACTATATTGATAAAATGTTAGATTCCCACTTTAAAAGTTTTGGAAGATTTAACAACCCCTTATCATCCTTTAGAGGTTATCAAGACAGATTCAAACTGCAAGGTCCAGATGCCATCAAGGATGTCAAACCTACCATTCAAGTAGAATCTTATGATCGGAACCATCCGGAATCTGGATTTAGCGTGGATTCAGCACCGAAGTTCGAACCTGCACAGTATAGCAATGATCCTCCAAGAGCGAATCGACATAGCTATCGTTATGAATATCCTCAGCAAAATCCTGCGAATCATGAACCTGCTTATGATGATCAACCTAAAACATATGAACATCATCACCATTACAACCATCCAGAAAAAAGTGCAAACGATGATAGGTCTCGGGGCTATGAAAGCAAAAAAGCTTTTCCATCAGAAGATAAATATGCAGATAAAAAAGAACCAAAGATGATGAAAAAGAGCTATGCATATTACCGCAAGGATAATCCTAAGGAAGATCCTAATGATCAACAATATGCTGAAGAATATTCTCATGGAAACTACAGAAGTTTTTCATCTGACTATGATAGCGATAGAGATGGTGCTAAAAAGGATTAATTTCTCCAAATTGCACCATGTGATAAATAGTTATGTGTATAATTTAAATTTTATCAACCAAACCATGATGATTTTAGCGCGACCAGAGTCAAAGTTAAAATATTCTTCATGTAGATTCATGAGCAATGATTTAAAATGCACATTATCATCTTTTCTATTATAAAATTAATTTAAAAACAAATCACTTATTTCATTTTGTTTTTCTTTTTTAAATGCCATCTATAATAAACTATAAATTATTAAAAATATAAATTTTGCACAATTTTACAATATTATCACACATATTTGTAAGGAAACTATAATAAGAATTAGATAATGCTTTGTTTATTTGATATATATATTTATTACGAATGTTTTATTAATATTACTTGTCAACATCATTATTTAATCATGTAGGAAATAAATAACAGCTAGATAATATATTATTCACATAACTTTTCCGAACTACTTAAAGTGTTAACAATCACATTCATTAATTACTTTTTCACTACTTAATGGGAAATTATATATAAGTTATGAATACCTAAGTACTGTTCCAGAGAGTACTGTTCCAGAGTCTATATCCAGAGAGTACTGTTCTAACTGATATCTGTAAGTTAGTAACTATGATTTCACGAAGTTTTTATTCTAACAATTACTTATTTTTCGCATAACTGTACCTTAGTCATTCTTTTCTTTTTATTTCACTTCTTCTATTCACTCATCTTTATTCATTCTCTTTCATTTTATTTATTTTCTGCAACTCATGTTTTTTAAAAATAAAAATAAATATTTGTAAACACAAAATTTTGTTTTAGTGGATTTTATATTTTTATACACAGCTTACTGCAAAAAGAAAATATTATTAATTTCTTACTAAAAATCAAATATAACGAACTCTTATCCTCAAAATTCTCAGAATATTAGGAGTTAGATTTTAAATTAATTTACATAACTGAAAATTTGATTTGTGTGAAAATAGCGCTCTATGGTTTCATGAACCGAATATTTATATGAAAAGTGCTACAGTATAAGTATTTCAAGAATGAAATACTTATATAAATAATAATTATTAGTACAAGTATATGCACTAAGGTGTGATAAGTATTTCAAGAATAAGTAGCCTCCATTTTTCAAAAACGAAATACTACATTACATTTAGTTTCAAGTAAAAATAGTTGGTGCGAATAAACATCATAAACTTAAATAACAACATTTTTAAAATATAGAATAAAAATATTCCTTAAAAGTTGTAAACCAGATAAAACAGTGCATGTTTACTTAAAAACTAAAAAACTTATAGCCCGAAAAAAATCATTGAAATGTTTAGAAATTTATCCCAATCATATTGTTTAGAAAAGCTAGTTCAAAGTTTCTCTTGGCATTCCCCACATAATCCACTCAAATATTCTGATGTAACTTATGTAAAAAAATATATTTAATATAACAAATGTACAAATTACAAATGCAAAATGAATATAACAAATGCAATGGATGAAGTGCAAACGGTAAATTATTCAACACTGACAAAAAAAGCATGAAAAAATTACCAGAATGTAGTAAAATTTGCCATGTTTCTGGCTCTATATGAACTGTAAAAAGCTTGGTAATTTTTATCGAAGCACGTAAATGTTTAGAGAGTAGAGGGTAATGATTTTTTGGTTTTATAATATGTGATAAAACTTAGTAAATGTGGTAAGTTTCGATAATTTTTTCCCTATACCCTAGAACCATGGTATAAAACCCATTTATTTGGTTAAATTTATTTTTCAGTTTTGTACTTTTTACTGAATATTTTATAACAAGAACTGTAATTTTAAAGACCTGATTTTCCAGTAAACCATTATCATATGAAAGTAAAAATTGCCAAATGAATGGTTTAAATACCTCATAATTTAGTTTTATTTCCCAAAACTATGTTGTTGTTTTTTACTAGAAATGTAATTACCATATAGTATGGTAATTTTACCAGGATTTTATCTTACAAAAGAAGTTGACATTGTCGCGATCTTTTCAGGAATAAATAAATAGCTTAGTGCATGTTTAAATGTTTACAGTAGACTATTCCTTAGGGATTTTATTTAGATAGTTGCTACGGAAGTTTCCAAAATTTTCGCTTTATATAACAACACCATACACTAAAACTGTTATTGTCTATGAAAATCAAAGTTTTGTAGTTGAAGCACCCTTTAAAAATCACTTTCCTGATTATTGGGAAACTGTCTCCCCAAACACTTCAATTGCTCTCCACGTGGTGTGTGAGTTCGAAATAGGACACAAATTGATTTTTAGAAGATGGCTTTAAATGTTTTCGAACGAAATTTAACTGTCTCGTAGAAATAACGCATTTCCCACGAAACAGTTTTGTTCGATAATCAATAAAAAATAAAATTCAGATTCGGATTATAACAATTCATCAACAAAAGCTCTGCAGGAACACATTGGGATTATTGACCTTTTTTAGAGTAAATGCAATTGTTATTTTTCACTTTGTTTTTTCGTCTGCTCTGTATTATTTTAATTCACCAACATTTTGTTTTTATAGTTAGACGTTTATTTAAGTAACCATTTTGTAAGAGTTGAATAACGTCATTCCCTAGCTAAAAATAAATACACAGGATCTATACTTGACTGAAGCATATTCACATTGTCACAGCGGAGATTCATCAACAGCATACCTCAATTTCCTGGGTGAAATAGAATAAAGGAAATTAATGAATAGCTTTCAAAAATAAAAAAAGATTTTATTTCAATTTATATCTGCAAAAAAAAACATGTGTCTAATTATTAAATGTCAATAAACTCTGAGAATTATTTTTTAGAACTAAAAAATGAAGCTTATTTCTGAATACAGAGAAAAAAACAATGGAGTTTACTTAATTGAATTAGAGTAGTGAAATTTTTGTAATGCAACAATACAGCAGGCAAAAATTAAATTAAAGTTTGCTTTTTATAACTAAAAAATAAACAACTTTCTAAGTTAAAAAATTGAAACATATTATTCTTTGAATTGTTTTATGTCTGTTTGAGGATTACAAAAACATAACTTAATTAATTTGCGGTAAGAAAAAAAGGTGAAAAAGAACTATTTGGCCTTCTTGTTTAAATCTGCTGTATAATTAAATTTTTGATAGTTGTTAATACTGTAAATAAATATTTTGGACAAAAACCTATGCGATACGACGTTTCTTTTGTATGAAAAAGAATTATTAGTAAAAATTATATCGGTGCACATCAGACTATTCGATATTTACCTCTAATTTAGTGTTTTATAAAATTACATATAATAATTTTTATTCATCTAATTAGTTTTAATAGAACTTGTCTTATGCCAGTTTAGAGTTAACTAATTTATCAAAATTAAATAAATTTCTGTTAACACAAAACTATTAATGAATTATCGTTTAGTTTATTAACAAAAATCAATTACTTATGTACTTTATTATTGAAATTTTCCGGAAAAGAGTTTAAGAAAGATTTTGCCCCCCCCCCCCAAAAAAAAAACCTGAGAATGTTCTGTTATTATGATCGTGCCACTGTGTGAAAAAATTTTGAATGAAAGTACATTAAAAATTATCGGCTCTCGGGATGCCGGTGAATCATCCGATGAAATCCATTTTTATTGGCACATGTTACGGAAGAAAAAAAATCTGACATACTGTCAGTCTTACAGTCATAATTACAGCAAAATTAGTTACTCTAAACAAATATTGCTGTCAAATTTACAGTACAGTATTTTACTGTAAAAATGATTTTAACAGTAAAATGAATTTAACTTAAAGCACCCTAAGGGCTAGTACTTTATGCGTAATTTGATACGAAATTTTCTGCAATGCTTACAAGAGTGGCTTACAATTTTAACAAGCTAACATAAGTGTCACTATTTTAAAATTTAAAAACATGGGTGTCACGTCAAACATATTAAAAAAATATAAAAGCTTATTAAAAAGCCTTTTTTTTCTGAAATAGCATTTTTATGTCTAAATCTGAATACTAGAGATTGTGAAAATAATAAAATAATTAAATCAAAATTGAATTTAGGTATTATTTTTAATTAATATTTCAGTACAGAATGCATAAAATCAAAATAAATTACTAGAAATAATTAATTCGAAATTATTAATCCTAGCTAATTATTTAATGGTCAGTACTTAATTCGTATTTTTTGGATTTTGATGAAACTCCTGAAAACAATATTTTTATTTCTTTTAAATGCAATGAGTTTCCGCATGCCACTGTTAAAACTCTGACATTCTACGATGGGACTATGAGCCATGGGCTGAGAATCTGTGTACTGTGTTCTTGTACTGTACTTACATATCAGTTACATCACTCGTGATGAGTAAATGTGAATCATAAATTTACGGGGGAATAAAGATGACAAAAAAATTTTTTAACAAATGTTTTCTTTATCAATACAACTTAGTTCGGTTTGCGAAGAAGGAGGCATATTATGTACTTCATTAGAAAAGTGTTATAGATGCATGAAAAAATATCAAAAATTCATTCCATAAAATTAAAACCCCACTGTTGATAGTTATTTTTTCATTTATTTAATCCCTTAAGATATTATATATATATATATATAATCTTTTCTTCGCCAAAGAAAAGAGAATAGTTACAATGTGAGTGCCATAAATTTGACAAAAAGTTTTTATTGTAAACTAAGCGTCGTATGTTGCTGAAAAGAAGTGACAGTGTTTTAAAACAGAAAAATGTTNCTACGCTGGAACTATGCTCCATGGGCTGAGAATCTGTGTACTGTGTTCTTGTACTGTACTTACATATCAGTTACATCACTCGTGATGAGTAAATGTGAATCATAAATTTACGGGGGAATAAAGATGACAAAAAGTATTTTAAACAAATGTTTTCTTTATCAATACAACTTAGTTCGGTTTGCGAAGGAGGAGGCATATTATGTACTTCATTAGAAAAGTGTTATAGATACATGAAAAAATATCAAAAATTCATTCCATAAAATTAAAACCCCACTGTAGATAGTTATTTTTTCATTTATTTAATCCCTTAAGATATTATATATATATATATATAATCTTTTCTTCGCCAAAGAAAAGAGAATAGTTACAATGTGAGTGCCATAAATTTGACAAAAAGTTTTTATTGTAAACTAAGCGTCGTATGTTGCTGAAAAGAAGTGACAGTGTTTTAAAACAGAAAAATGTTTATAACGTGATTAAA